ATCACAAAGTAAATCACCAAAATTTTCCCAGTCAGCTTTATGGCAGTTGTATTAGGTACGATGATAGGAAAAATCTGTTGATAAAGAAGATATGTTTTTTTAAGAGAGGTCAAACCTTGACCAGAAGCATCTGAGGGTAAATGTGGAGAAACTGAGTTTTGATTTTGATTAGAAACAAAACATATATGAGTAGAAAAAGTAAATAATTCGAATGGTTAAGAAAACAAGTTAGATTTTGGCTATTTGTGTGAGAAAGATAAAAATTGTGGGTTTTAACGCCTACAGAGTCACTAACTCTAGAGCCAAGCCTTTCAATATGATGAGCATTAAAATTACCAACAGTAACAAAAGAATAAAGATTACAAATCTGATCAAAAATAACAAAAAGAGTGCAGTCTTGAGATGAGAGCAACGTAGAACAAAAAGAGTAAATTTATGCTAAACCAATCCACATTAAAGACCAGTCTGATTCAAACAGATCCAAACCCAGTCTCAAAACAAATCAGCGAATTCTTACAAATTCAAAAGCCTAAGTTAAGAATGTTACTATTGGAGTCTTTTCGAATTGAAGGATAATATCCATCAACACTATTATCACATATTGATATAGCTAAACTCAAATTATTCTCTTATAGAGCAGGTAGTTCTGGTAAACTTTGGAAGAAGCAAGACTTAACAGAAGAAAAGCTTGCCCGAAGACCACAAATATTAGCCACAACATTTAAGATACCTTCACAATACAATATTTTATGTTGCTTTATGTATCGTGGTACCCAAATCTCCCCTCTATTTTTTTTATCTAAAAGAGTTTATCTAAAGTTTTAAAAGATATTTAATTTTAATTTAGTTTCCTTTTTCAGAAAGCCAGTCGCACCCACAGAACACTGCATCCGTAAAATATTCATCTCGCTTAACCTAATGTTTATATACGAACCGTACCATACCATACAAACTTTTTAAAGTTTTAGGTTTTATTTGTCAATGAATTTTAATACTATAATAATTCTTTTTTGTTATTTGGAAAAGCAGCACCAGATCCAACATTCAACATCAGACCCAGGTCTCAAAAACCACCCTAACCCTTTATTAACTAAAAAAGCAGCAAGATGGGTACTTTAAGTATACTGTGTTTTTTCTTATCAGGGCACTAGAGAAGTTGTTTAAAAAAGGGACAATTAAACTTAAAAACTAAGTCTTGCATGAAGAAACATTAAATAAATAAAATCTAGAAGATAAAAACGCGTGCGCCATGGGAACTTTTTGGGTGAGATTCACGTTTATATTTTTTACAAGGTAAAAAGTAAAAAATTGTTTTATTTAAGTTTTAACTGATAATAAACATTTTATCTTTTATTTATTGAACTTTTATACTTAATAGTTGAATTTATTAAATCATTAAATTAACTTTAATTTGTAGTTTTTTCCTTATTTTGAAATCTTGATCTTACATTGCTCTTTATAACTTGGCTTGTGTTCGACCTTATCCAATCAGAGTTGAACATGATTGAAAAGAAGAATTTCACTATTACATATAGAAAACAACTTTGTTACGTAATCATTTTTAACATTGTTACATTTAAAAATATAAAACATATAAAAGTCCATTCCCAATCGGCACTATATATATTTTAGATAAATACTTCATACGTTTTAATATTAGTTTTAGACATCTTTAACAGGTCTTGTGCCCACTGGGATGCATATTTTATAAAGTAGTCATTATTAAACTGAGCTTTCAAATTAACGATAGTTGCATAAAACCTTATTAATATGTATTTGATAACTTAATGCTAAATTCTTATTTTAGTCATAATGATAAACAATTAAAATTGTTTCAGAACTATAAGCAGAACTAATGTCAACGGTAAATTTGTTGAAAACTTATCGAAGTTCCGTACCATACTTATGCATAAGATATTACCATACCTAATAACAATTTTATTTTTATAAGTATCTTTTTTTGTAGATTTTTTTGCTACACACATAACCAACATGTTTTATTATTTGTTTTGTAGGTTTGTCTTCTTGAACATTAAGTTTTATTATTGAATTTTGTAGATTTTACTCCTTCAAAGAAAACATTTTCAAGTTATTCACTTAAAAGAGTTATATGAAATGATGACGGTGAAATGACGTTATTTGAAACGATGATGATGAAATGATTCTAAAAGTTAAAAAATTATGGTAAGTTTTGATGTTAAAATAAAAAATGTTTTTTTTGTTTTTTTGAATATCTTATATATGTATCTGAAATGATATAGCTGTCAAATTAACACGTGTTTATGTTCCAATACAAACGATACGAGTAAATATTCGAAAACAATTTTCCTTTTAAATAGATTTTTTTGCTCTGACGGCGTGTAATACTTTTTTATCACCCAAGCCACACCAACGTTTTCTAATGCGCGCTGGCTCGCTCTGACTAAATACGTCAATTCATCGACAGGTACATGCTCTCTCAAAAAAAATACCAAAAAGTATTTTTTGCTAGAATGTATTGACCCCTGCTACTTATTGATACAAAAAAGAATTTAACACTTAAAAGTCCAGCAAACATTCTAAATCGGAGTTGGACCTCTATAGATATTTTGAGCGGCCACTGTAGTTTTGCTTATCGGCTACTTAGCGGACCATTACTGAGAGCCACCAAATATGGGAAGTCGACGACTAGTCACCATTTCACATGTTGGAAAATTATTGGCCAGCCACTTATAACGAATGCCTTTAATAGTCCACTAAGTAATACCTTGATACCTTCAATTTAAAAAACAATAAAGACACTAATATAGATATTTTTAAAAGCTCTTTAGTTTCTCTGAAACTGATTGTTAAAATTAGTCGAATAAAGAAAACATTGTGTGGTGAAACCAAGTTATCTCTTTTTCAAGTTTTTGCAAATCCGTAATAATACGTTTCATTAGTAAAAATAAAGAAATAAAAATTGACGAAAAAAAACAAGAAAAAAGCAATCAGGGAATTGCAGCAAAACAGAAACACCATTTCTCAATTTTTTAAGCAAAGGTTCATAAATTAATTTTTAACTTGGTCTTTAATTAGCTTATAATATATTTATGCAAAAGTGTAAAACTCAATCTAAAAGTACGAAAACCCTTAAAAAAAGAATTAGGGTTACCAGTAGATATACCCAAAGCAGCGTCACAACGTTTTGCTAATGACACCGCTAAAATTTATTTCAATCTAAATATTTGATACCCCAACCTAAAAGTGAAAAGTAAAAAAATATAAATTAAAATAAAAATAAAAAAAAAATTTACAATAATTGGAAAACTTTAATTAAAACTCTTTAAAAGTTTCTCTCTTTTAAAGTTCTTTTTTGATAATTTAATAATTTTGATAAAATACTGTTTTAAACAAAAATATTCCTCTTAAACTACCTAATCTTAAAATAAATAATACTAATATAAAAAGAGAAAATTTTATAGACTTTCTAGGTGTGGTCTTGGATGAAAATTTGTCGTGGAAGCTCCATATAAACACTTTAGAGAGAAAGCTCTCAAGAAATATTTCATTAATGTATAAAGCAAAACTTTTCCTAAATATCATTTCCTTAAGAAGTTTATACTTTTCATTAATACATAGTCATCTAAGCTATGGTAACATGGCCTGGGCAAGCACAAACTGTACTAAGCTTAAAAAACTCTACAGTAAACAAAAACATGCCTGTAGAATTGTCTTCGGAGTAAGTAAAAAAGCGTCTAGTGAACCTCTCTTATGCAAACTTGGAGCATTGAATATATACAAAATTAACATACATCTTGTTTTACAGTTTATGTACAAAATAAAAAATGGACTATCTCCGCCGATATTTCAACCCTATTTTAGCGAAATAAGTCATAAATACCCTACTAGATTCTCATATAACAACTTTGTCATCCCAAAATTTACATTAAAGTTAAATTCATACTCAATCCAACACCGCGGACCTTATTTGTGGAAAATTTTTCCCCAGATTGTTACTATCAAAAGAAAAACACTTGAACAGTTCAAATCTGAATCAAAGCGTTTTTTATTATCTACGGACTTAAATTTTCTTTTTCTTTTTAAATAAAAAAATAAACTAGCACAATTTATTTCTTTTATTTGTTTTAACTTTTACTTGTTCTAAATTTATTTTACTAAACGAATTTATATATAAACAGTTATATCAATTGTAAAACGTAGTTTTTCACATTTTTTCAAATATTTTATCACAAACAATTTATCACAATTTTATATATTTTGTTGTAAAAAACGACCTGTAATGAAATCACTATGGGGCTCGGTAATAAGACAAACTGATGTCTTCTTCTTGCTCCAGCCATTTGTTTTATTATTTATGTTATTTTTTAAATTGTAACTTTCTACGGCAAAATTAAATGAATGAAAAAAAAACAACCATAATTTGAAAAAAAAGATAAAACTAACTTTAGGCGTTTTTGTTATAAATGTACCCCTGTGTGCAACCGCTCAACCGCCAACGAAATGTTTGGGGGTTTGGGGCTCCAACTCAATAGCCACGGCACTGACCTAATCCTTAGATTTAAATTGGGAAGCTTGAAAAACTTAGACAATATCTTCTCAAACTAATCCAAAAAAGATATTTCGTTTATTCATAAGATATATTACTATCACCCTTTAGTCGCAACAAAGTTTTAGCTTAAGTTAGACCGCTTGTTGCAAACTATTTTAAATCTTTAGATTATATTAAATATTTATTTTAAATATTTGTTTTAAATGTTTTTTTAAACATTTATTTTAAATATTTATTTTAAATGTTAAATATTTATTTTAAATATATATTTTAAATATTTATTTTAAATATTTATTTTAAATATTTATTTTAAATATTTATTTTAAGTATTTATTTTAAATATTTATTTTAAATATATATTTTAAATATTTATTTTAAATATTAAGAATAGATTTTAAAAGTAGTTAAACTTCAAAAGTAAATAAATTTTCATGAATTAAAACATTTTTGAAAAAAAAAATGGAACAAATAATATTTACATTTTATTTACTTTTTATTTTTAATTATAAAAAGAAATTTGAATATAAATAAAAGCTATTAGACAAAACCAATGCTGTTAAATGGATCTTTTTTTCAATAATTCTTCTGAAATGTTTCAAAGTTTATCAGCAGCTTCATCATCCATAATATACGGTGCATAACCGAAAATCTCTGCGCATATCTTTTCGATATCTAGTTCTTCCTTGCCAATTGAACAGTTCTCTAAATACAGTCCAGATTTTCCTTCTAATTCTGGAGATACTGCAGCCCAAACTGAGGTTGAGGCTCCCGCCTCTATTGATTTCATTTTTATTAACGATTTACCGTTAGCATCAATCAGTCCTTTTTCAATTAGTAACTCTTTACTTGTATGTCTCCAAATTTTGGTCATTATAAATCCAGGCATAACTGAGTTTGAAGCAATACCATCCTTAAAAAACCTTTTTGTCAAGGCCAATGAAAACAAACAATTGCATGTTTTTGATTGTCCATATGATATAACCGTTTCATACTTCCTTCCTTTTGTAAAATGTATGTCATTGAAATCAACGTTCTGAAACGCATGCGCTGTTGAACTGACATTGATTACTCTAGATTTATTACTCATAAGTTTAGCACCCTCTTTTAACGCAGGTAAAAGTCCAATGGTCAAAGCAAAATGTCCCATATGATTGACACCAAATTGAGTCTCAAATCCATTTTTAGTGTAAGATATAGGACATGCCAAAACTCCAGCATTATTAACCAAAATATTTAACGGTCTGTTTTTGGCAAGAAATCTTTGCACAAAACAATCTACACTTTCTAACGAGTCTAATTCGAGTAGCTCCACTTCGATTTGATTGTTGCCAGTAGAAGCAATTAGTTCTTTAGCAACTTGGTGTCCTTTTTCCAAATCTCTTGTACAAAGAATACATCTAGCACCAGCTTTTGCTAACGCTCTCAGAGTTTCAACACCAACTCCAGAATTTCCACCAGTAACAATTACCTCATAACCTTTCAAACTAATGCCTTCCACAACCTCCATTGCAGTTGAGTCTTCTCCAAATTTTTTACTCATTGTTCAAATTTTTTTTAATATTATTTGAAAAACTAAATTTAAAAAGTAATTTGAAATTAAGTTAACTTGCTAAAAACAAATGAAAAAAAAACTCTTAGTCAATTAGGTACATTTTTGTACACAGAGAATTAAATACGTAGTCTCCTTGTATCTTGTTTAGTATCAAAAAACAACTTTGTTAATTTAATGTTGTAACATTAATAATAGAGACTTGGTAAAAATCATTAAAATATAAACCTACGACAGCAACATCAACAATAACAACGTAGTCGTGTCTACAACATCATTATCACAGCTAGGACAAAAGCGATAATAATAATAACGACAACAACAGATAACATTAAAAGCAAAACTTTATAGTAATAAAAATATTCAAGAAATGGTTAAAAAGTATTTTTAACGTTTTTTACTCACAATTTTAAATTACATTTTATTTACTTTTTGGTAATTTTAAATATTTTTAATCGTCTGTTTCGGGCCAGGTTTGAATTAGACGCCAAACAAGCAAAGATTCATCAAACGTAATTGATGTAATGAAGTATTTTGACAGCGTTGCCAATGTTATAGTTAATATTAAAAGATTTTTAACAAAATTAAGCTCATTAAAACTTTTTTACAGGATGTCTTATCAATCGGTGTATAAAAAAGACGTAGAAAAATATATCAATGTTTAAAAAAGAACCAAGTTTTATCAAACAGTTTTGCTTCTCTTAAATTATCAGCTAAAAACGTGCTTGAAACTTAAAGCTTTCAATTTTGGACTGAAAATTTTTTTTTTTATTTTATTGCGCTCTTTTAAAAGCTGCTTTACGAGAGTAATTTAATAAGACCAACTATAATGGAGCTCGAAATCTAAAGAAACAATTGCCATTTACTCAAACTGTAATTGACAATTACTCAAACTAATAAAGGCTGTCAAAAACTCAATTGTTCTTCAAACCTTATTATATCTCTATCATATATTGTCATATCATCTCAATCATATATATTTTCACAAAGATTATCTCGAAAATTTTTAATTGATATAGCAAAACTATTCACATTCTTGGAATTTATTTCAATAGATAATTGATAATTTGATAATTGATAAATTCAATAGATATTTAACTGCAATAATCAACTTTTATATATAATCAATTAAAGCAAAATCCTGTAAAATAAAGTAAAGTCAAAGTAAAATCAACTTTCTATATCAATTAAAGTAAAATATAGATCAATTGGTCATAAAGAAAAAATAATTTCTTTTGTATCTATTATGACACTATTTCAGTATTCACACATGTATTGTTTTTGTTGTCTTAAAATTAAAAAGAAATCACTAAATTGCTTTTTTGGTTGATACATCGCATTCTTTTTGATTGACAACGTTGTTGAGCTTTGTTTATCTATAACAAACTTTTTTCAACAGTTTTTTCCATCTCACTGTTACGTTTTAAAGAAAAAAATTCTTTAAATGTTGCCAAAATATGTTGCCGTTTTAGGTGAATGTTGTTAGGTGAATATATATAAATTCGAAGTACATCAATACAGAGAACAAATGTGGAAGTAAATTTATTTATTCAAACAAGCTATTACTGCTTGAACAATATCCTTGATAAACCTAATTTGGATTTTTTTAAACATTTTTTCTGTGACAGGTTGTTTGATCAAACTAATTGTTTTTCTTTTACAATCTGGAATCATGTAGTTTCAAATTTTGTAACCTCCATTAAACAAAATTTAAGTCAGTAATCCGTATCATTTTGGACTGAATTTGTTGTTGACAGTAACAACAAATACTTTTTGTGAAAAAACCTAACTTTTTATTGCAACTACGAATCCTAATTACTTCCAATTGGATCTCTCTTTTTTATGTGTGAAACAAAAACTTTTGTTGCCATATTTAATTATAGATAGGAACGAGTTTAAATGTTTAACTTTTTTATTTATTTAAAATCACATCGAAATAAATATTTTCAAGTTTAGAGACACAGGTTGTTTAAGAATATTAACACCACCTTTATTTAGGTTTAGTTTTGGGATCTTTTGTCATTTTGTATTTTTAAAGTTATTCGTTTTTCTCATTATTTACTCAAATATGATAAATAACGGTTACTAATGCTCATGTATCTTTTGTATCACAAAAAATAAAAATTTAAACCAAAGGTACAAAATTAAACTTCGTATGCTAAAAGTAATAAAAACTATAATAACAATTCAATTGACGTTGAGATGCGTCTAAATACCATATTTTGTAAATAACATTTAAAAATTTCTAATGCAAACCATTTTAAACCTACCTATTTGAAATAATCATCATCTTTAAATGCAATATTTGTTTGATAACTTTTTAGATTAAAAACACTTATGACTATTATCTCTTTTTAAAACAGTTTTTTTTTTCAAATAAAAATACAAAACATTATGTTACTGTGTTTAAAAAATACTACTTGAAAATTACGTAACACGTATATACGTCAAAGATACGTAATTCAATGATAAGAATAAGTTTTGATGCCACAGTGAAGATTATAATGGATTACAATATACTGACCTCTATATTGTTTTATGATCTTTTTACGTAATGTATAATGAAAATTTCATTAGCTAGTATGAAAACGCTACAATTTTTTGAATAAGTGACATGCTTGGGCGATGCGAACCTACATTAAATGGAAGACTGCTTTTACTTGTGTGACGCCTGATGCAGTTGTATATTAAAAACTCAATAACTCTGCATATGATTTATGTTTGAAATTTTGTGAAAATTACGTGAATGATTTATTTATTATGACACCAACAATGTTAAACGGTTTAACAGACTGAAAACCGGTTTTTAGACATAATAAACAGTTTAACGGACTGAAAACCGGTTTTTAGACATAATAAAGCTCCAAAAAATTTGATTTTATCAAACGTTACATTAATATTATTACTTAGTTAACAAAATAATTAGCACTTATTTGTTTTTCTGTTTTAATTAAAATACAGCATGCAATATTTGTCGATGGATATTAAACTTCTTTCAAAACCACATATCATCTATATTTTTGGTAAGAAAACTAAAGCTGTAAAAAGAGAAAATTTCTAATTGAACCTCTCAGCTAAAAAATATTTTTGCTTCTGATTTAAATGCAAAGCATTCTAGTTTTTAGACGGTGCACATGGGCAAACTATAACGATTACAATTGCATTCTAGTTTGCGTTCTAGACTGGACACAAACATGCTTTCTAGACTGGACACTAAATAAAAAGATTCTATTAGCTTACTTAAAAAAAAAAACTAAACTGATTTAATCAAATCTTTCCTATATCCGCACAAAAATTTCTGCTGGGAGGCTGTTTATAGGTATACACCTTATTATTACATATTTTTAAAGATAAAAAAGCATATTGACAGATGGTTAATATATATTCATATCTTTTCTAGGTTTGTAATAGTCTAATAAGGATATTGACAAGCCTAGAACTTTAATTAAACTTTTTCTTTGAACATTGTCGAACTTTAATTAAACTTTTTCTTTCAGAGAGTTGTCAACTAGTTTGTAATTTTTGCATTTTTTTCAATATTTAGAATGATGATTTTGAACTTTGAAGTAAAATTTTATTCACTAAATAATCAATTAGTTTAATGCCTATTTGTTAATAGGAAACGTTTTGAATAAAAAGATATTACAGTACAGTAAATCATATTGAAATCTATCTTTGTTATGCGCAAAAGCTATTATAGCTATTATTGATAGATATTATTTATATATTATAGCTATCTTTGTTATGCGCAAAACACTATTTTTATCTTTTTTAGAACACTAAGCAAAACACTAAAACAAAATTTCCTATAAATTTTATTTTAAAAACAAATATAGTTTTATATATTGTTTGTTATAATTGTATATATATATAACTTTTTACAAAGTTTTAAACCTTTTTTATTGTAAATGTTACATGTAGAAAGAAATTGTATTTGTTACAGCATATTTTGCGATTTTAGATTTTGGATTTGAAACATAAAAACTCGACATTGGTATTGGATATTTTCCATTTATGACTTAATTTTAAATGAGTTAAAACATATTGATTATCATTTTAATAATCTACCTCTTCATAATAGTGCAGCAGATTAGCGTTAAAAATGATTGGAATTGTGCACAAGTAGATTAAATCATGACATTTTTACCAATAACTTAAGAAATTAAGCTGATTATTTTAAAATATAGCAGTTAAGTGCAGCATGACTAAAACTGGCTTAAATCCAAGATGGCCAATTATGGATTTATAAAAATATTTGTAAATTTTACACCGTTTAACTAATCTTTACTCTTCCCCCAAAAAAGGTGTCCCTTTTTTGGGGGAAGAGAGCGGGTGCAGCCCCCTTCTATCTAAAAATAACATTATTTCAAAATTTTTGTTAAAAGTATTTATACCTACTGTTTTTAGTATGTACTTAAATTTTTACAAAAATAATGGAGTACATATAGAGAAATAGGTGTTTAAATAGAAGGTCCCCCAAAAGATTTTGCTTGCTCACCAATCCGGAAACGACATGGGTGCAAAACCAAGTTGTAAGTGACTGCCACTTGAATAATAAAAGTCAGTGAGTGATTGCTTTTACTCAACCTCAGTATTATACCTTAATAACATAAAGGTTTTTACTTGTAAGGGCGCTTGGTGTTACAGTGCATATACTTTAATCATAAAAGTCGTATCAGATGTGTCATTTCTTAAAAGTACTCCTTCCCTAATACTTTTAAGCTGTGGGTTTAATGTGAAGACAGGCTAGAAAAAACTGATAACGAAGTTAACCGCAATAAAAACTTATTTATATATATACATATACAAAAATAAAACTTATATATATATATATATATATATATATATATATATATATATATATATATATATATATATATATATATATATATATATTATATATATATATATATATATATATATATATATATATATATATATATATATATATATATATACATATATAAAAAAAAAAAAAAAAAGTAATAAATTGAAAAAAAACAAAACTAAATTGACAAATTAATATAATAATGAATAGTTTGTTTATTTAAAGATGGGTTTACCCATTTAATATGAAGTGATTCTTTAATTTTCAATTTGCTTTTGTTAGGAGCAGTATCGAAAATTTTAAAACAATTACAGTTGCTTAGATTTTTACAATCAACAGATGAAATTGTAAACAGATGCTTATAAACATTAGATTGTTTGTTACTTGTAAGATGCTCATTAATCCTTGTTGTTAAGTGTCTAGAGACTTCTCCAATATAACTGGCATTACATCCAGCACAAGAAGATTTGTAAACAACATTGGATTTTAGCAGCTTAGGAAGTGAATTTTTTATACATAAACTGTTTTGTAATTTGTTGGAAGTAAAAATTAAGTTAATTATAACATCTTTACAATATTTTTTAATGATTTTATTAACTTTAGATTTAGTAAAATTTGAGTAAAATACTATGAATCGAAGTTTATAATATCTTAAATTAGGGTTATCAATTCTATTTATAACAGATGGATTTAACTTTTTATTAACAAATAATTTAATTTCAGTGTCAATTATTTTAGGTAGATATTGGTCATTTTTTTAATATTAGATAGATTTTTTATGTCCTTACCAAATGCGGCTCTCATTTCTTATTTAACGGGAAATATTATGATCAATTGGATGGCTCTGCCATGGGTTCTCTTTTATCGCCAACTTTAGCAAATATTTTTATTAGGTTTCACGAACAAAAATGGGTTAATAATTGTTCTTCCTCCATACCAATTTTCTATAAACATTATGTGATGATATTATCGTTTTTTTTTTTTTTTTAATTTATTATTATTATTTTTTTTTTTTTTTTTTTTACTATTACGGTATATTAATTTGTATTAAAATTTTTATTGGTTTGTAACAATTCTGTTTGTAACAATTCTGTTTGTACTCAATTCTATTTGTCTTTGAATTCAATTCTATTTGTCTGTTAATATTTCTCTGTAATATTTTTAAATTTTGATTTTTTATATTTATATCCAGAGTTTTAAATTGTAATTTTATCTTTTAAAAATGTAGTATGTTAACTACGAAACAATGTAGTATGTTAACTACAAAATGTATGTATGTATGTATGTATGTATGTATGTATGTATGTATGTATGTATGTATGTATGTATGTATGTATGTATGTATGTATGTATGTATGTATGTATGTATGTATGTATGTATGTATGTATGAATGTATGTATGTATGTATGTATGTATGTATGTATGTATGTATCTATAATATATATTTTTATATATTTGTACATTACATTTAAATTGATACCACTGGGAGTTTACAAAAAAAAAAAGAAAAGATTAAACTTTATGTTTTTTTATGTTATTATCTATTTATGTTTTTTTCTCTTTTTTTAAAGTTCTATATGTCTACTTTTAAAACTTTCAACAGCACCGTTATAACCCTTAAGTGAAAGTGAAGGCACAGAAAGAACATTTCAGGAAATAATTTGTCAATATGGGCAAATATTTATAATGCTTGCAACTTGAGCAAGCATAGACTTGCAATCGTTACATTTGCTTCTTTTTATTGTTTTTTTTTTTTTGCTAACTGTTGTTGCAACTTCTTCTGTTTCAGGTGATAGAGTTAATTCTGATATTTCATTTGAATTTAAATCTAATGTTATAAGTAATTCATCATTAATTGGATTATCATAATTGTTCTTTAAATCTTCATCCCAAAAATTTATATTCTCCTTAATTAAAGTCCAACATGCTAAAATAATCTCTTTTAGAAAACTTACTGGAAATCTCCCAACACTCATTTGTCAATATTGCGCTCTATAGGGTCACTTTGAAGTCGTGAAGTAAGCACATACAAATATCCTTCTTCAATAAGCTCGTTTATATGCATTGCCTGAGAACGCAGAGTTGTGATGAGAGCAGATGATGTTTGTTTTCATTAGGTAAAAAATGGAGATTTCTTACAAAATTCAATCCAATCAGCTAGTTAGCTAAAAAATGTGGTTTTACCATCATCAAAAATAATTGCATTACCAAGTTTATTAGGACTAAATTGTTGTTTTGAATTTGAAACAGTCTACCATTTTTGAAAAATTATTAAAAAACCAGAAATGACATTTTGCTCAGGAAAATAACTTTTAAAATTTGCAATTGTTGTTTCATCGAAAATCGACAGTGCAAAAGAAACATTTTATTACGAAGGTGAAGATTTTGATATGTAATTTTTGGAGCTTTTTTCAGTTTACCTTGAAGTTGCTTATCTTTAGAATGTAGAAGATAAAAATCTTCCCAAGTTATATATTCAGCTGGACAATTATAAACATCATCTTTTATATTATGAGTAAATGATAGAAATAATATATTGTTTCTGATATTTTTAACAATATATACACTTTC